TTAACGTTGAGAGAATTATGCGTATTTGATAACGAAAATAAACAATGGAAAAAATTATTTCTCAAAGAAACAACGATCATTTTCAGCAAAAGCAAATATCAAGTCTGGAAGTTCTAAGCCTAAAATGAAAACTGAAATTGAACGCTGTACTGGAGAAGGTGTTCATGCAAGATCATGATACCACGATTTCCTATGCAGCAGAATACTCAATTTTAACTTGTTATGAATATGAAATTTGATAATCTAACTAGTATAATATTGTTCACGAAGTCACAAGAAATAAAATCAACGAAATTGCCGAACACAGAAAAAGGAAAGGTTTATTTTTTCAGTATCTCTACTTTAAGTCAGGAGGGTCCGATCTTGGCACGGAATCAAATTAAAAAAATTACCAAAAAAGGTAAGGATCATAATAAAACTTGAATCAATGGCCAGAGCCGAAAGAGGACATACTCTTGTGACCCCTCAGAACAATAAAGAAAACTAACTTTTCACACGAGTTTGAACACATTTGCGCAATATATAGTGAGATATTCCTCAAGTCAAACCAGTTATTAACTCTGAAATGAGAAAATCTGTAACATTCAAATTAAAACGTCTTATTCGTGACAGACTTCATTTCTGTCTTGTTCAAATTAATGTGAATATCGACAGTGCGTAAAAAGATATCTCCGAACAGGATGTTAAAACGTTATCCTAAACTAAATGGCATGAATAGAACGTTATACTACAAATCTAACATAAAAATAATACTTTGAAAGGTTTATTTTCCTTTTCAGCTAAACGGCGTTGTTGTTGTTGTTGTTTTTAATTTTTTTCCCGTCAATCTTATTTTACCTGATTGAAAAATTATGAAAAATGAGATAATGTATAGTATCAGAAAAAACATTTTTGATATTTTCTCATAGACAATTCAAACGCAAAAAAATAACAAAAAAATATTTTTACTGTTTTAGAACCATTGAACAGGCTCGAAAAGAATCTTTAAAAGTTCCCTTCAAAACAAATTGTCAATTTTTTGCAGATTTGTTTCGACCGCTGGGCTGTAGTTAAAAAACATCAAAACTACCTTTACCATTTCCCGCCTTTAAATCACATTGACTTTAAATACTCTTTGAAAATGACCAACAGTTCTGTGTGTTTAGTTTAGTGTATATTACGCATTTGAATGCATTGTTATAGAGCCCAGTAGAATTTTGGGTTAGGAATGTAGTTAAAAATTATGTTTTTAAAAGTTTTATAAACATTCGTATATCATACGGTAAGGAAAGATGATAGTGTGTTAATACTAGGTATATTAGCCTTCGACAACGCCTATGTACGACAGTTTTCAGAATTCAATATCTATGAGAGTTTAAACATTGTAATAATTTTCACTAGTGCTACGCGAATAACAGAATACGTAATCCCCTTTTGGATTAAATATTAAACGTGCAAAGAAAGTATACATATTAAGTATAAGAAAGTTATAAAATTTACTTTTATCATTAGCTACATTTGGAGAACTATTTAGAATTCACAAGAAACGACATTCACATTTTGCAATATTAGTCTGATAGTACCTACACCTAACTGTCTACTAAACTTTACTTTTTAAGAATGGAGAATGGTGTTTTATGAAACGGGCATCTTTATCATAAATGTAACAGTTCATAAAATATTTTTAAAAAATAATGATCTTGCATACCATTGTAATATTTTGCGAAGATGTTTAATCGCATAGTATGATCGTGCTGAGCCGTTTTCTTTGTTGTTGAGGATATTTAACCTCATTTGGTATCAAAAACATGTGTACCTTCGGACCCGTTGGATAATGTTCTTTAGAGTTGGACACGCCACTGGAGTTAAACCTCATATGGTTTTGCACAGCCAAGAAAACTAAATAACAAGAAACCAACGTACCCTAGAGATATGAGAATTGTGGTTTCTATACCCACTCGTAGTGACGCACTCTGTTCGGTAGTGCCGTAGCGCGACGGGCTTATTCGAGAAGGTATTGCCTCGCTAAGCCCGCGTGTTGGGTACGTTTAATACAATGTGTACGACGGCGGGAGCCGTTTCTAGTGGCCGAAAAGTTTGGAAGCCTACGGTACTCAGAATACGTTGGTCCTAGGGGAGCCGGCTTAGGAATTTGAGGTAGGCTGCGCGCCCCGGTGCCTCCCAGAGCCCAGCGCGCAGACCCAACAACGAGGAGTACGTGGGGTGAGCCTAATGGGAAGTTAACGAGCTCGCGGTCAACCCCTCTCATTAACGGCGAAAAAAGGTTGTAGCTGTCACGGTGTTGCAATTGCTCGTAACAAACGCTCTCCGAGATCGAAAATCGTGTCAACACGGAAGAAATATCAGATAGCACGGCCGCTGTCATGTCTGCGGTGGTTGTTGGCCGGAGATTTCATTTCTTCGGACAGAATTGTCTCCCCATTTGAGGCTGCTTCCTTTGAGTGAGTATCTTTGCACAGGTTTATTAAAATCAATTTCATCATTAACCAGGGACCCGGAAAGCCAATCGGATGTGTAATATAAATTTTTGATATTGAGCACTAATTGAGGAAGTTTTACTGTATCTGGTTAACAAAATCTACGTTTGAGAAAAACATGAAATACAAATTAATCAATAATGGAAAAGATAGTTCTTGTTATACATTAATTTCGATCATGAGACTAAATTCCTGCTGTTCAGTTGATAAAGATTGTCTTTCCTTATAAAGTTTATACATTGAACGTTTCATTAATGTGTTCGCGTGTTGTTAGAACCGCATTTAAGCAAACACAAACTTATTAAAGGAATAAATATTACCGGACCATCTGCGGAAGGTTTAAACTAAGAAAAATTAACAACTATGGCACAAATACTTCGTAGCTCAATCTCTTACACCAGCCTCGGCAATCGTAAACAGTTTTCCTGTGAAAATGCGATTGCTCTGTTAATGCAACCGACGCGCTCCATCAACTGCCCAAAATAGCCTGCTTCAGTACTCTCAAGGGTCACACTTTTGCGAGGCTGCGAATCTTCGCAGAACACGCGGCAGGCCGCCGCGCAGCGCCGCGCAGCGCCGCGCCGCGCCGCGCCGCGCCGAGGCGAGGCAAGGCGTCCTAAACGGAAATCGCGAGGGACGATCGGAAAGGGGCCCAGATGACTTCCGGCCCGCGCCTTGCACCTGGCGATCCCCCGGGACGTGCCACGTGCGCGGAGGTCATCCCCCCTTCCGTGCCCCGAGCCCCGCGCACGCTCCTCCGCCACCTGTAGGGCGCGGCCGTGCGCCTTCTGCCCCGACGGGCCTCGCGCGCCGGCGCGGCGATAGCGCTCCACGCTATCTAATCGGCCGCGGAGGGCCACGATCGCGGCGCGCCCCTTCCGGGAGCCACCGCCGCGTAGGACGGTCCAAGCGCCGCTGCCGCGTGATGGGCATTCTGACGATCTGAGAGCACAGTGGAGGGGATTTACGTAATGGCGATAACAGCCATTAGAGCCCCATGCCAGAGGGACTCCGCAAACAATCTGCGAAGTTGTACACGGATATGCTATACACCTAGAGATGCGAACATAAAAGATCTGTCAAGAGAAGCATTCAAGAGGGCAGAGGAGAGATGGCGGTGATGGACAGAGGATGCTTTGAATCATACGTTAAGAGATATGGCGACCGACCAGCAGACGCCGGGGGACGCCGCTGGAGATGAGGTTGAAAGGAGATAATTTAACGGAGAGGCTGTAGAGAATATCCCCTTGCGTAGCGCGATGGGGGTCACCGCAGCAGCCGCCGTCAACGCTTGCCGAATATCGCGCGCACGTGCGGGGCGGAAGGGGGCAGCGGCGAGGGGTCTGCGGTGGGGGTGGAGGCGCCAGGCCCTCGCGCGGTCTCCATGGAGATCGGCCATCGACCCGCACGGGCGGGCGGGCGCGCCGGTTCGAGCCCGCGCTGCCGCTGCCACGTCGCTGCCCTCGCGGCTTGGCGATCGATCGTGCTCGGCGGGCGAGGCGGGCGAGGGCGGGCGAGGGCGGGCGAGGGCGGGCGAGGGCGGGCGAGGGCGGCGGGACGGCGGGACGGGCGGGGTCGGGCGGGACGGGCGGGACGGCGGGGACGGGACAGCCGAGCTGTGCGGGTGGCACGAGGAGGGCGAGGGGGGCCGGGTGCGGGAGGGTAGGCGCGGATGGGGCGCGTGCGGAGGTGGGGCCGACGGAGGCGCGGCGCCAAATCAATCGTGGCGACTGTGGGGCGGCGACGGGCGCGGCGCGTCGGCGGGGCAGCAGCCGCAGGAAGGGCGGGAGGGGGCGGATACGAAGGAAGTAACGGCGACATCAGGGTTGCGTGGAAATAGGCCAGGGGGCGGAATAGAGATGAGCGCTGGCCGCGCTGGAGAGACGCAAGGGTGGACGGAAGAAGAAAGGGCTTGTAGCACAGGAAACGCCTAACGGATGGAGACGGGTAGACAGGGAGCATTGGCCGAAAGAAAGCCAGGGCTGCCCAGTGGGAAAGCGACTGCGCGCGTGTCGGAGGGAAACTGTGGCGCGGACTGAAGAGTTAAGGACAGGGTGTGCCAACGTGGCGCCGCCGGGACGCCAAAGTAAGTGGGGCGGAAGAGCTAGATTGTCGCGCCCGCCCGTGGGGAAGCACGGCGACTTTGTAGAGACCTGAGAATAAATATCTTGCGTGTGGGTGCCGGGAATAGCTGCCGCATCATATGAACGTAAAAACACTACCTAGACAATCCCCGAATTGCATTGAGGCGACATTAGCGCATTTTCAGTTTCACGCTTCAGGAGACGAATGAAAAGGAATGGTTCCAGTTTGCGGGGTCCAATGACAATTTGAGGGTTGAATGACAATGGTCGCCAATAAAATGTAGAGGAAGAGGGTGGCGGAAGTGAAGTTTTGGAAAAGAAAAACGCAATCGGCAGCCGACATCACGATAACAAGTCCGCCGGACGCGGCGCGGCGGGAGTATAAGGGGGCCGGCGGGGGCCGGCGTCAGAGACAGACTGCGCGCGTCTACTCTCTCACCTGGTGGCCTGGCGTCGGCTGCTCGCGTCGTCCATGTCGGGGCTGGCGGGAGGCGCCGCGGCGGGCTCCGTGGCGGCGGGGACCGCCGGCCCAGGCCGGGCCTGTCCCGGGGAGGCAGGGTCCCCCTCCAGTCCGGCAGCCTGCGGGCACCAGACCACGCGGGTAATGCAAGGCACTGCGCGGGAAGGAGCGGGGCGGGGTGCACACAAAAGGGCGAAAGTAATAAAATGGCAGAGCTAAGGGTGAATGAGCATGTAACGGGGAAAAGACGTGGAGCTGTGAGGCGTTACGCCACGATGAAGGTGAAGTAATAAATAGAGATGTCTGAGTCGTGAGTTGTCGCGTAATTAGAGAAAAGGAAATAAAGAGGGGGTGGAGTAACTAGGCGATGAGATTCTGCAGAGCAGAGGGGCACAAACTGCCATTACATACGTAAACGAATTCAGAGGAACATTTAGAGTTGCCTGTACATCATCAAACAAGAGTCGAAAATTCTATTGTATTGTGGTTCTCGATTAACCAATTTTAAATCCAAAAGGCTTGAGAAAAAAGGAGCTAATTTGCGTATTGGAGAGAAAAAAGATTCATGACTTTTGGGTTCCTAAAGACCCAATTTCTTAAATCTGTTTACGTACTGCCTTATTTATTGCGAAAATGATACTCCAAAGTTCGACACGATTGGTAATTATATTCCTGGTTTATTGCTTTCGTTAATCACGATATTGTATATTGCACTGGCATTAAAGATCTCTCACACATTCGAATACAATTAAAGCTCATTTCATCGTAGTTCAAACAGCATCATGACAGTTTCATCATTGAAGTCTCATCCATATTATTGTCTGCCAGACGAACGAGAAAAGTATCTTTGAGAGCAGCATAAGAACACCAAGAACATCGGAGATCGTAATAGACTACGCAATGGTGCCCATTCGAGCCTGTACAATGGGTACCAGAGAACCGCTTCTCTGTTGAATCGGTCCCACACGTGCAGGCACCTACATTTTGAAAAGCAGTCACAAAAGGACCCCGACAGATTTGCGCCAGACGAGGTCCACACACAAATAAAATTGCGCAGAGATTTTAGGGATAAAGTCATTTTAACAACATTCCCAAAGCAGCTTTCTTGTTGATAGTGATAATTATTTGTAGCACATTAAAACACACATTTGAATTTTATAACGTAAAGTAACGCAAAGAAAAGACGAGGTGTACAAAAAGGGTAATATGCTACCAGATAAGTTATTGTCACGTGGAATTTAAAGTATACTGAATTGCAGATTCAAGAAAACATTTAGCCAAATCTAATGTAACCAGATATTTTAAACATCTATCATATACATAATTGTTAAACATTAAAAGTTATATTTTTCGCTCTATAGAGTACTGCAATACAACTATTGAACTAGAACATAAATAGTACAAATCTCGTAAAATATTAATTTCATGTATTGCCACAGCTATGGTGCATCATCATCAAGTCAAAAGAATCAAAATTTGTTTCTGACTTAACTTTGATACAGTAACAGTACCAAGTGATTGATTCACTGCAATTCCCATTCATGAATCTTGCTCTTTTTGCATTCCGTTTTAAGGTATCTGACAATCAATCATAATGTCTCTGGAGCAACTGAATTGGCTGATAAGGAGATGTGGAATACTATAATTCAAATAGTTCCGTCATCTGATTTATTGGAATTTTGTTACCAATTATTTTAATTTTTAATTATCTAAAAGCTCGACATCTCTAGCTTCGAAAACTAATTTCTCACCGTTTCGAAGTTTAGGCGTTCTCGTCTTAATTCGGCATTTCGAGCCTCGTTTTCAGTCGCCTATTTGATGAATCGAATAAAAAACTATTAATAATTATAAAATGTACTAATAATGTAGCATATGGTGTAATCAGATTATTATAAATATGTAACTTTGTGCGACTATTATTGAAGTTTAAGTGGTAATATACGTTTCACTTCATTGCCATAAAAATGGGAGCTAAAAGGAAATTCTGAGTCGCTCGATCTTCCTTATCAGCTTCCAGCATGAGATATCGAGGTCCCATTGAAGCTCTCTCTCATTCGTTCTTTAAAAATAGTTCTTTTTAACACCTGGAATATTAAAAGATATAACATTCGATTATGTATTAACAGTACAGTATAGACGTGCGCAACCTAAAACAAGAGGGACGCCAACTACATTTCTCATTCCCCTTTGCCATTATATATTTTTATTTACATGTGACATTTTACTATAAATGAACAAAGCGTACACCAACGAAATTGAAATTTAACTTCAATGATACAAATAATAAATACAATTTATTCTATGATAAAACCATTTAGTCAAAAAAGTGTATAAATAAGGGATCGAACATAAGAAAATAAAATGTTCTACAAGTATTACGAATGGCTTCTGGGGCCTTTTCAAATTGTTTTAGGTAAACAAGGGCCAACTCCTGAGCGTACGCCTATGATTACAGAAATACTGTCCATTTTTGTTACTAGATTCTCGTTATTACTGAATAAGTGAAGAATTAATTTTTTGTTTTAAAAATGTGTCACACGTTTAAATAATTATCAGTTTAAAAATTCAGTACAATCAACAACATTCAACATTGTGAGATTTCGACTTGGCTTCTTTGACAGTTCATAGACAAAAATGAAAGTACATTACACCCATCATCATCATCATAATTATTATCATTATTATTCCTGTTCATCACGACTAAGATGTAACGAGTCGGCTGAATATAAAATCTACAGGTTGGAAGCAGCTACCTAAGGAGCAGATCTAGTGACTGTCGGTGCCTCTACAACACTTAGCGCGAAATGTGAGCTATTCCAAATAAAGCAATTTCTTGCAATTTTCAGGTTTTTGAATGACCTGGGAGTTAAGCCAAGTTCTGACACAAATTTTGCGGAACAAATCCCAGAGGTCCGATGACTATCGGTACGAGCTCACGCCTCACATTCGGCTGATCTTGATTACCATACACATGTATTTAACGAGTTCCTCTACCTCCTTGAGTACGTTTTGATCGCAAGGCACATCGCGGGCAACATCTACACGTACGCACGATTTTTTTCTCCAGACCCCGGTTAACAATATCCGGTTTGTTTGCTGCTACAGTGCGAACCGTTTGAATTTGTTGGTCGTACAATATAGCATAGTCCAACAGATGTCACCGGTTTTGGTGAGTGTTCTTACTTGGGGCATGTGTTTGGAACTTCGAGGGCGGTACAGATCTGCCAATGGAGGTAACTACACGCCCTGTCTTGTTTCAATTATTAGGTCTTTGTTAGAATTGGACACGCTGACACTATATGATCAATGGTTTCTCCTCGTTCCTGGTGGACGCGGCATTTATCATTTCCAGAAAATTATCACGATGTCGCATGATCCTGAACAGCTACTAGAACTGCTTCCGATGCTGGCTTCGTTCATCCCCTTTTAAGACATATAAATGATTGATCTTTATTCATCTGCACCTTGCCCATTCTTTTTAGATATTGTCCATGGAGCGGTTCGTCTCTCCTCTATTATTATTATTATTATTATTATTATTATTATTATTATTATTTATTCATGAAAGAATATACATGGATCAGTATTTTATAGTACATCATGCGTTTGGAAGACTTCATATTAAACTTAAATTCTCATCTTACAAATGCAACTAACAACACATGAATAGGAAACTGACAGATCACCTATGGAATTAACTCAGGTCTCAAAATATGCTGAGGAAAGAGCCTAAAGGGTATCCATTTTGTATTCTAGTTGGGAGCTGGTAGTGGTGTGTAAGTCTTAATGGGTTGCTTGGGTTATTGCATTTATTATGGAGGAGAAATAGATAGGAATGCAAAATGGTGAGCAATAGGGATAGAGAGGGGTCATTTCTTCGTGCAGTTGAATGTACGAGGTGAACCAGGGTGCACGAGTAACCAATCTGAGGAAATTGTTTTGGATGATCTGTATTTTATTGATATTAGTTTTAGAGGCGTTGACCTAGTTAGGGCACGCATAAAGTATTACGGGTCTCATTATTGATTTATAAAGGCGATGTCATTGTTTAATGAGAGCTTACTTTTGGAGGCCTTCAGTTGGATTAGTTTTATTTTGTCTTTCTGTTATTTTACTGTTATGCGTCTTATTACACTTTAGTCTGGTATCAAAATTGTATCCCTAATTGATTGATTCTGTGGAATCCCTGGAATTGGGCGATTGTTTATTTGGAGTGGAGTTGGGGTTGAAAATGTTGGCGGATGATTCTGTAGGATTGAGTGATTTTCCATTTGTCAATGACAATTTCATTTATATGCGTTTGAATTTGTACTCAGATTAAGTAATTTGAATAGTTAGTCATGAAATTGGCTGGTGAGTGTTTGGACACGAAAATGGCGGTACGTCCGTGCAACTATGGGAATGTCTACTGGGTATATGTTGAAAAGCATAGGAGTTAGAAATGATCCTTGAAGTAAGCCAGCTGTGATTCTGCGGGTATTGGAAGGGTGTTATTGACCATGACTGTCTTCGATGGAGCTAATGATGATATTAAGTAGTTGGGAGCACCTATTTCTTTAAGTTTGAAAGTTAAGCCAGTCGGTCACACTTTGTCAAATACTTTAGAAATGTTCAAAAAGATTACTATTGTATGAAGCTTTTTTTGAAATGCAGTTTGTATGTGATATGTGATTCGTAATAATTAAGCTTCAATGAAACTATAAGTGAAGCCAAAACGGTTTTGAATCATCCTCATACATTTTTCCAGTGTATGTTTTGTGTTTAGTCTGAGAGTGGGTGAATGAGGTTCGATTTGTTGAGTTCAGATGATTGGCAAATGGTCCGAGTTTAGTTCAAAATGGGAGGAGAGTGAAAAATATTTTGGGTGTCAGAAATTGCAATGTGACTTGGTATTAATACGGCATCGGATGTCGTAAGGATATTTCAAGAAGTACTATAATTCCACCATTTTTCTTGGACTCTTAGCCCTTACCTACATATTGACCATTAATTAGTTCCAGATTGTGGTTTTCTAAATGGAGAAGGCATGGCATGGTATGGCATAGTCAGGCCCAGCGGAAGAGGTAGGTACGGTGAGTGGTGATACCCACGCGAAAATATTCAAGGTGGGTAATCACCCACATGAAATTTTGACCGAAAAAAATATCATTTTACACATTTATTACTACCATCAAACTGTTGGAAAAAAACTTATTTTCGAAATCTACCAAAACATTATTCAATATACAAACTTCGCGCGCGATGCGCAGTTGTGATCTCGCGCAATATATTTATGGCGACCTGATTGCGTCTCATTGAATCCACAAGAATCGATAATGCACTGGTTAATTGTTCGAGGGTTGCGGAGTAAACGAGGTAATAACAAAACTGATGAATCTTTCAGTCAATCGCGAAAGAGGAGCAAGTTGCAGCCTACTAGTACATCGGACCTAACCTCGAAAAATGCTAATGTAAACCCAAAAAGTTTACGAATGGATGTCCAAGTGTTCTGTTACTGACAAGTAAAAAATAAATAGAAATAAATTATAAATGTGTTAATTAAAATGTAAAATAAACTACATATTTTATACCGTTATGTTTTTCTTTAAGAAAACTTAAATACAATAAAAAAATTACAATACGTGGCACTCGTGGTACTACCAACCTGAAATTTATACATTTAGCTGGCTCTGCTGTATGTAACAAATTTTCACTCACTTTACAACAATTTGCATTGGAAACAAACACTTGTCATTTTACAGTACCATCAATAAATTACGAATAAAGTTCTAATCATATTCTATGCATCTATCAAAATCGGGGTTCAAGAAAACGTGCGTGGATTATACCTACAGCATCTTCCCTTTTCCTTTAGTGACGCGGTCGAGCTGAAGTAGCTCGGAATATCAGGACCACGCGTTTATCAAGTTCTTTACTAGCATGGACGTATTTTGTATACCAAAATCACGACATTCCAGGAATACATTAACACTGCTTGGAAATACTCGTAGACTAAATTTTTTAGATTCTCTTTTATACGCTCCCATCCAGTTTCCGTATGTGTTCGGGCATTCCCGGGGTTGGATCATAGCTCAATTTTAGCGCTTCAAAGTCGTAGGCTTTTTAGCAGAAACCGGTCCTACCACTGCATGACGCGTAGGTCACGCGGCCGCAGGCGACAGACACAGGCCGGCGTGGACCGAAATCAAACAATTTAGAATGTGCGGGGAGGATGCACAGGGGGTGGGGGGCACTGGGCGTGGCGTGGCGGAATGCCGAGAGGGGGCGTTCCCAGGCCGCCCGCGCTGTACGGCGCCCCTTGCGACACGCCGCGCGCCCGCCCGTCGGCGACGCAGGATACGCGCGGCTCCCCTCGCGCGTGACGCAAACGCGAGGAAGCTGCGGCGGCGGCGGCTGTGGTTGCGGTTGCGGCGGCGCGAGCGAGCGAGCGAGCGAGCGAGCGAGCGAGCGAGCAAGCGAGCGAGCGAGCAGCACGCACGGCCGTGACCCCGCGCCAGCCACTGCGGCGAGCGGGCAGGCTCCAGCTCTTTGGGCCCGCGGCAAAAATACCCGCGCGAGGCCGCCCGCGAGCGCCGGGCCGCCAGACAGCGTTCGAGTCCACCTGTCGTGCGCCGACGCAGCCGTCAAGACTGCGAAATGGCCCGGTGTAATGG